TGAAGAGGCTAATAATTAAAGATGGGACCCTTTTTTGCTTTTAAAATATTTTGACAAGACGTTGGTGTAAATTATTACCATCATAATCCCAAGAATTCAAGTAAAAAACATATTTCTTCATGTTGTCTGCACTGAAATGAATCATGGGATATGGAGTTCTCTATGTTTATAAGCTGTTGCTACTATAAAACCATGCATTTAAGCAAAGAAACTTGTGATTCGATATATTGTGACAGCCCATGATATTATTGTGAGACTTTTGACGATACGATATCACGATATTTTGGTTATTGTTACATCCTTATGATTTAATGTTAAAAATCACATTCTCTTGTGTAAATAAAGTACTTTTATTATCATTGTGGTATCTGTATTGGGTAATCTCTTAGTCTAATCCTCAGTATCGAAATCGAGTTGGAAATTATTCTATCGTGACAAGACATAACAACATGACTGGGGCGAGTACAGGGCCAAGCCAACGTGACAGAACAATCACAATTAGTCACGTATCCAAAATCGTTGAGCTGTAATCTATATGAACAGTATGAGAAGTAATAGACCAGTGTATAGGATCAGTCATGGGCTTCAGTCTGGGCTCTGCGGTGCTGCTGTCTGATCCTAAAGAACTCAAGTGTCACAAAGTATCCGTCAAACAGCACAAACAGGCAGCAGATGCAAACTAATAAAGCATGAACACATTACACAGACCAGTTAGCATGATCCGTCAATTAGACAATGAATTAGCTACGTGGTTCGACGACGGCCTTGTTATGATGCTCGTTTGGGGTTTAGGAGCAGACAAACACGGCATTGAGTTAAAGTGCAATGAATTGAAAAGTCCACAGCCGATCCTAAGTAAAAGTGTATTGTTTGGAGCTATTTTTTTTATTTTAGCAAGACAAAACAGCATTGAAAACTGTGATTATTTTCTTGTGAAACTGCGAAGCCAAGTTACAATAGAATCTCCTTGTGCTATTTGTCAACAATCATTGTCGTTCTTTTTCTTTTTAAATTACAATTTCACTTATCGAAAAAGCTCGTTTAGAGACTGTTCTAGCCAATTTGCCTTGAAGTAATAGTATGGAACTTTTTTTTTATCGATTACCTATCCACGGAAATAGAAAGTTAAAACGATACTTTGTAGATTACAGTTAAAAGAACAACATTTCTATGGATGAAAGCCGGAGAGAGGCAAGTCCATCCAGAGTAAGGACCCATGTTTTTCTATGTTTTTCAGTGCAATAACAAACAAAACAAAACAAAAAACTTTAACTTTAGTCTATTTTTTGGGTAAAAGTTACATACTGTGGCATTAAACCAGTTGTGTGTTTATAAATAAACAAATAACTGCATTTTTTTCAACCAAATTGGGACATTTTGCATCTCAGTCAACCAAACAGTGTCAGTAATGTTGTGTCCCCAGTTCCTCGAATCATTGGAACTTGCATCCTTTTCAGTGCATCCTCCCCCCCTTCCCTTGCTCAATCTATCTACCCTCCTTTCTCCCTCTCTCCTCCCCTCTTCTCTCTCCGTCTCTTCCTTTCTTCCTCTCCCTCTCTTCTCTTTCTCTCCCCACAAACCCCCTCCCTCTCTCCCCCTTTCTCTCTCTCTCTCCCTCCCTCTTTATCCCTCTTTCTCTCTCTCTCTCTCTCTCCCTTTTTATCCCTCTCTCTCTCTGCCCCTGCGGTTTCTGTCACTTGTTCACAGACGAGTGACCATTACGTCGTCATGACCTAAATGTGTCAGACTCCGCTTCTCTCTCTCTCCCCTCCTCTCGCTCCGCTGTAGCTCGTCCTGTCCGTCTGGATGCTCCTCTCCCCTTTGTCACCCTCTCATTCGCTCACAACACTTTGAACGACAAAATGCACACACCACTTTTGACCAGATTTGCACTTGTGAGGTGTGAGGCTGCCACTGTACCTCGACTCCCTTAAAAAGACACCTTAAGGTGAAATCCTGCTTCAGTTAAGGTTTACAAAATAAATGTCAAAATTAAATTGTGATTCTTGCTGAATATTATTAGCCAGGCTCACGCCACTTAGTGCCTCTGCTCAATTTAATTTCTCTCCAGCGACTAGGTCAGGATTCGGAATACATTAGACGGTTTGCAAGAACCCCGGAAGTGTGAGTTCAAGCACCAGCCAATTAGCAAAGAGCCATACATTCTGTGTGGGTAACGATTCCCGAGATTGAGGATTTAAAGCCAGAACAAAGAGAATGTTTGGTGAATTTTATCAACAGGAAAGACGTTATTGCCCTTCTTTCTATGGGATTTGGGAAAAGCTAGCCCAGTTATCCCCGTTAGCGGCACAATACACATTTCATGACCAAATAGTTGCGATTGGTTAAATAAAAAAGTACCCGCCTACTGTTGAGCGAATGAATCCTAATGCTGCGAGGTCAGACAGTTTCCACGAAGTGAAACCGACTGATCAATCAGGATAGAATATTATGGGCATTTTACAAAATCATATTCTTCCTTGGTATTACTCTATTGTCAATCAATTGCTGATGATTTGATATCACCTTACACAATGTTTTATGAAGGTATTTTATTTATGTAATAATAATCAACCATATTAACCTTTTCAACACAATAAAAAAAAAAAAAAAATTCAAATTATAGACTTACAGATGCTTCTGTTCATTTATGTGCATTTAATTCTATATGTATGCCCATATTTTATTAATATATAGTATGTCTAATGATTTTCCGGCCTGAAGGCTTTCTTGAACAGGATGTGGGGAGAAAGAGGATAGAGACATTCAGTTAACAAACCACATAAGTGCAACACTTCAAACCACCACACATATCTGTATCACATCATATTTAAAACACAATGACTCCCAGTCCTGTCCTGTCCCATGTGCCCGTTTCCCTTTCATTTGTCCAGGCTCCTCTTGGCTGCTCTTAAAGTCTGCCACACATGACTCTGGTATAAAGACATGAGTGACTCTGAGCCTCTGGTCTCTGCATCAAACTGAGCTGTGCCTCAGTGACAGCAGCTCTTTAATATTGATCCAGCCCAGGACACCGCTCTGAGGCCGGACCGACACTTTTAATCATTACAAGTCCTCTTTACTTTGGCTCAGTCTGTTTCACCTAAACACGATTGTGTGATGTGATTTGTCACGGTAACAAATTTCGAAGCACAAAGCAATGCTACAGATGTACTGAATATAATGATAATATTAAAACTACTTTAAGTCAATAACACAATAACAATGAAGCAGGATAATTCCAGTACAATATAATTTAAACAGACAGACAGTATCATTAAAAGGCATGAGCTGCAACAAAAAATGAACCAGTTATTAGCCATAGAAGTTCAACTTTTCTGCAGCTCATACACAAAATAAATACTGAGCTTCAAAATATATTGTTCCATCTATCGTGTTAAACGGGCCTGACACCTGGATAGTTTTTCCTTTCCTTTTTTAAATTGCTGCATCAGAGGATTTACGATTCGTTTAAGACAAAAATGTAAAACAATGCCTTCGTAGCATATATTATGTTTGTATTATGTATTCCCGAATTATAAATCTGTGTGACAGTATTGCACAGTATTTTGAAATAATATTTTTGCTAACCTCTACATTGATGATTATTCATGTCTAGTCCATTTGAATATTTTTACAATTACAAAAGAAGAAAAAAGACAATTCTAATCGTATTTCCATTTATGTTGGGTGCTCTCTCCCCTGCTGGAACTCAAACTTAATTTAGAACTTATTAGAATTTCAAATCATTGTTCAAAATGATCTGTCATAATTTATCATTTTGTATTTTATTCATTTTTTCTCATGTTAAGTGTCTTTTTTGCTTTGTTTTTTTTATTTGTAGTAATCTTTTATTCTTTGGTCATTATTATAAGGCAGCCCTTTAAATGTAAAGTAATTCCGTGTGTTTTTGCATTTTTGTAGGAGCCAGGATTAGAAGCTCCATTTTCCCATGACCACAAACTAAACATGACTGTGGCTGTTTTAACCCTTTCACATTTTTCATTTCAGCCCATGACAGATGACACGAGTATGTAGTTGTACAGATGAAAACTTGTCAACAGTGTAAATATATGTTTTCCGTGGATTGCAAGAGAGGGTCGTTGCCATAGTATTCGACAATTTCAAATGGCAATGGTCTTCAAAAAGTCCTTCAAAACAGAAAACAGAAGTTACGTAACTGAAATAATTTGTTTTTAATAGTCTAATTTTCTGCCATACTGACTTTCCTCATCAGAGTCATATGCACAAGGACAAGGACTAAATGAAGTGTTTTTCTATAAATGCACACTGTAGTAAGTTATAAAAAAAGTACAACCAAAGCTAAGCGATTCAAAAGTCCTTTTAAAAGCCTGAATATCTCATCTCGTCAAGGTTCTAAATTAAGAAAAACATTTACCGTTTAATCATGGTATGTTTTATCCTTATGACCTTCATTTTTAAAAACAGATCCACGTCACGTAATTATTTTATTATTAGATTAACATGATTTGAAAGTCAGATATGGGTTAAATTACCTATCTAATTACCTCTCTGTGTCCCCAGATGATGTAAACACGTTCAAATCAAAGCTTTTACTGATAACAATTGTAATGTTGATTTATTCTTAATTACATGGCCATGATGGCTAAGTTGATTATGTTATAATGTGTTTTTTATCCAATTATCCAATCAGAAAGCAGAGTGAGTACAGACTCACTACCTAATGCCCCCGCACATGCAGCCAATCATTAATCAGTGGTTCGGCCTCTGCAGCAGATGATGTCCATATACTGAGAATGAGAAAAACATGGATGTGTCATCTATCTGCAGGTTTAGATACTGACAATCCAGGTTCAATTTGTGGTTGTAGTTTTTAAAACACTATTCCTTTAAGGTTAGGCAAGTACTGACTATGGTTAAGGTTAGGATCACTCTCCAGGAAATTAAAGTAAGTCAATCTAACATCCTCAAAAAGCATGTAAACCAACATACATGTATGTCCAGTCGCGTGTTCTTACCGAGGCACGCTGAGCCGTTGTGGTTGGGTTCATAACCTTCATCACAGACACATCCTCCCACAGGCACCATCCACTCTCCCTCTGCGTTACAGTGCATGCGCGGAGAGCCGCCCTGGGCTTTGCTGTGGGGCACACATGTACCCGTCACTGGCACCAGGGCCGTGGGCTCGGCCCCGGAGGGCGTGGCTGGGTACGACGCCAAGTGCAGACTGGTGCCAGGACAGCGGCGGTAAAAGATAGATACTCCCATAAGAGAAACGCAGGCTCCACTGTCCACAATGGCTAGCACGAATCTGGTGGACAAGACAGGAGTTAGGCAGAGTTTTGCATTGTGGGAAACTTTAAAAAAAAATATAAATTTTTTTTTAACAAATATGTTTAATGTGCATTAGTTGGCAGATTTCTAAAGCACTGTTCCCTATTTGTTCTTTCTCATCTCTTTACATACACTATGCACATGTGTATTTGCTTTAGTATGTGAGCCTGCAGGCACCTCACAAGCTGTTATTGTTGTTGCATTAAAGGTGCTCTACAAATTAACTGAACTGGAATTGCTTCAGTCGTGGCACAGACTGGCAACCTCGCTTCTGTCAGTCCGTCCCAGGGCATCTGAACTGAGTGAATGAATATGTACAATATTGTAAAGCGACTGATCATCTGGAAAAGCACTATATAAAACTAAAACAAAAACATTATGTGAAGTTACCGTTCCTACAATGTGAAAACATGTGTGTGTGAAGTTTACCCATTGCGTGTGAGCGGGGCAAAGCTGCGCGTCTTCACGTTGATGCGGCTGTATCTGTTTGGCTGGTACTGGTGCGGAGAACTGGGCTCCACTTTAGAGAAGCTTTTGTCAGCCGCAATGGTGTCGATCTTCACCCAGCCCTCTCTTGTCTCCCTGTCCCCACTGGATGGCTGGACACGTACAACAAAGAGTTAGATTAGAAGGTTTTGCAAAAAAATTATAACGTAGGTCTGGGCAATATTGTGATCTCATCTCATGTCTGAAAAGATTTTGGTCACCATTTCTCTGTGTAGGCTAATGCAGCTGGCCATTCCAGCAGACACTTTTCTCCACCCACTACTCCTATTGGTCAGCCTCTGTCACACATGAGTGACTGACAGATAGATTTAACCAATTACAGTTGTGGTTGTACTTTCAAAAGAAGCAAATGGTTTTATATATTCAATCATATATAACATAAAAATACGAAGTGTTTGGGAATCGTGAAAAAAATCTTATCATTAATGATGTCGGGGGTGTTTGCCAGAAGAACAATAGACAAAGTAACTCAGCAAACTCATACACTGTGAAATAAATGAAGTTAGATAAAAACGCAGCAGTATTTCTGTAGAGTGTGTTCGTCTGGAACAGCTTATTGACAAAGTGAGCACGCCATTGCAGAACCCCACTGGGGTTTTGTGCACGACTTCCTGCTCCTCTGTACTCTCTCATTCCTCATCAGGATGTATCTGCATTTAAAAGCATCTTATTTCCTTCAGAGAAACGCATTTATATAAAAACACGTAATGAATGCCTTGCCATGGCTCGCCTGCTCATTACAGTTGGATTTTCAAAGCAGAGGCCGTGTTTACCATTAAAATCACTTCTGTTTTAGTCAAAGCTTTGGTTGGTTTCCTGTAATCAGCATAAAGTGGTCACTGCTGTTTACTTTGAGCCTTACAGATGTCATTAGCGGCGCTTAAACGATGTCGCTAAAGGCCAAAGTGACACACTGTTGTATTTTCTAAATTATAAACATGTGTTTCACACCAACGTCGCCGCAGGAACATGTGAATCTCAACCGTTTTTGTCAACGTGCCACAAGACGAGTGATTACGGCTCATCAGGAAATTATAATTTGGAGCTTTTTTAAACACAAATTTACCAAATTTTAAACAAAAAGTAGTTTGTATATTGATTGATGTTTCATGTGCACTTCCGTAAAAAGAAATTAGTCAGCATTCAGAGTCAAATAGACCTGCACCATTCAAAGGTTTGAAAAGTGTATGGTTTTAAGATGTGGGATGGTTCATATTAGTGTCTTAATTTTTCTTAGACCTGACCTCTGGTTCAGCTGTGCATATTCAGGTTTTCAGTACAGTTTCAGTAAAGTTGAACTGTAATGGTTTTTGGCATGTACCAGTGTCACAGAAAAGTCTCTCTGGTGATGTAAACAGGTAGAAATGGCTTAAAAACTTGCTCTGGGCTTTGTCTCTGCCAGAGGACAAACTTTGGGATAACAAGATCTTGCTTCGAGTTTCAAATGACATCACAAAGTATTGATCTAATTTGCAGATGAATAATTCATTGGTGGCTCTTCCCTTAATGATATTTCGTTTTACCTCTGGGGATGGGAATAACAGGGTCTCTCACAATTCAATACAATACACATATACAAAGCATGGGACACAGAGGAATGCACTGACAATAATATGAATATACAGCGATTATTGATTACCCCAAATGATTGAAATACACACACAAGTTTACTCTCTCCAAATAGGTGAAAGCAATAATGTGACTGATTAAAAAAAAAGATCATTTGTTTTAGACATTGGAATCATAAATTAGACCAATGGTTCCCAACTTTTTCTCACAAGGAGCCCTATTTCACCTGTTGATACACTGGTGACCCAAATATCCTTCTCCCACCTAATACGTCTTATGAGGAATAACACAATTACATTCTGCTTAATAAAAAATGTTATAGGACAGTAATGATAATAAAACACTCTATAGAAAGAATTAAGATGCCATCCCTTCATTAAAATTCACACAATCTAGTTTGACCCACTTTTATCAGAATCCCTGGGGACCCCCTGAGAATCTTTGGGGACCTAAATTTGGGTCCTGAGCCTCAGGTTGGGAATTACTGAGTTAGACAAAGGGAGGCCACTCTTAACTATTGGGAGACACTTACTGTATCAACAAATAAAGTAACAGGATTTAAAAGTATTTTACTATTTTTTCACAGCTCGCGTTTGACAAAAATGTTGATATATTTTTGCATCATGATAACTATATTCAGGCATCAGAAATGTGCTGAAATGTGCTTAGTAATGTCTTTGCTGAGGTTCTAGCACAAAAAGATTACACTAGACACTCTTTTTGAGGTATTTTTTTCGTTATAATTATAGATATTATATTGATACTTGCTATTCCAGTTTCCAGCATATAGAAAACAACAACTGCGATCCTATACATTTTTCAAAATATTCATCTGTTGTCCCAGCCCTGGTTACCTCTGCTGCCCAGGTCCTCTCCAGCTCCCTCTGTGAGTCGGCCTGTTTGTAGAAGAGTGTGAGGGTCTCTCTGCAGGAGGGGGAGGGCGACCGCAGGCTGGCACAGTCCCGGACAGAGAACGTGAGGGTGACGAAGATCCTGGGAGCAGAGCGTCGGAGCAGGAATGGAGTGGCCAGCCAGTTATCCTGCTGCCGAGAGTTCTGGTTCACATTACACACCTCAAACGTCCGGATGAGCTTCCCTTTGTCGTCCAAAACAGAGACCTCATCCCACTGAAACACAGGGAGGAGGACACTGTATTAAATAGGGCTGCAAGACAAATCAAAATCACATCAAAAACGCAATTTGAATGGAGCAATTAACAAATCACAAAAGCTGCAAGTTGCCATAATTTCCTCTGCAAACAATAAAATATTCTGTCTTATTCTCCATAAAAACTGCTAACCCTGCAGTTCAGATCTACACTGACATGCTCTGAAATACGTGATTATGTGATACTTGTGTTCATTTGTCAGTTCAGGTCATTTGTTTTTTTTTTTCAATTCTTCTGGGCATGTTTAAAATGTGAACTTTGAACAGAATCCGACAATCCGTGTATCGTTCGTTCATTTGTTTTTCAATATAAAACCAAAAATAAAAAAACAACTATTGTCTTCATTATTTGTCTCAAAAACCAAAATGAAAAAATAAATAAACGGTTTGTTTCCGCAACTTAAACTGCGATGCTGAACTTTTGCACCGCATACGGTCTGAACCCGGACTAAACCAGGACTAAACCAAGACTAAACCAAGACTAAACCTTTTTCAGTCCTGGTCTGGTCCGCATCACACTTTAAGTCACAAAATGGTAAACGGCCTTATCCATTTTTTCCATTATTCATTTAAACACAAAATCAAAAACTGAAAAAAAAATAAAATAAAATCATTATCTGATTTTTTGATTTTGGAAACAAAAAGTATTTTCTTATTTTAGGTTTTATATTGAAAAACGAATGAACAAATGATATACGGATTTCCAGCAATTCTGTGCTTTTACGGTTAGTGGATTGACGTCTTGATAAAAATGGCCAAAGCTCATCACTGACAATTAGACATGATCTCGGTTCTTGATCTCGGGTAGAATTGAATTAATATAACTCCATTTTACGGTAAGCAGCTCTGATCTTGTTTACTTATCTTTATAATTTGTGGAAGCTTTTCTAGAATCAGAAAATTACCTTACATATCAGCTAATGTTTCTCATACGCCACTGCTGACACTATGGTGGTGCAGATAATGTGTTCAATCTGTTCTTATTTTATGCAATTTATAAGTTTAATCTCTAATAACCTCCAGTTATTCATCTGTAATCAAGCTTTTGTTTGACTAGCTTAGTTACATTTGTCTATGCAAGTGCCATAAGCTACTAATATTTCACATACTAATTTGGAGGAGGAGACTATAAGCGACAAGATAGACTTCTCTGCTAATGGGAAACACATGGCAGTGGGACTGAAAGATGAATAAGAATTAAATAAAAGTCAACGTAATTACATTAACCATTATAAAGTCCCACAGAGAACAAAATATCCAGGGATAAGTGTATGAATGAAACCTCCTATCACTATAGCTCAGATCTCTACAAAAGCATGCCATTTTTAATACACAAATATTTCAAAGGAGCACCGCTAACCAAATCCACATCTTGAATCTAATCTTAATTGCAACATTAGTCAGAAAAATTACAACTACATATTTCAAACATTTCCTACAATATAACAGCCTGTGGTTTACATACCAAAAAAGTATTCCAAAAATGAAATGGTTCTGACTGACAGTGGTTTGAAGAAGCTTTACCATAAAACGGAACAACATTATATTGAACTTAAAAATAAACTCGCACTGCTGTATTTGAAGTGGTTGGTATTATGCCTCCGTATAGTCCATGGATTTTCCCTGAGGCGGGCTGACTCATACACAGTGAGTGGTGTTTGCTTGTATCCCTGTTACTGTGGTCCTCTCCAGGTACTCACCACTGCCCAAAGACAAACTCAACATGTGTAGGTGTATTGTTCAAATAAATCCCAAAGTGTGTGAGGGGAGGGCCAGTCCCTCCTACTTTGTTGCTGTTCGAATGTAGAAAACTCGGGAAATAGACGATAGTGGCATCAGACAAGTGTCCAGTTTTGGAATGTGCCAATTAGGCCATGATAACCAACTCTTGTTAATGCGTTTATGTGTTTTTATTTGGTCAATACATACATTATATTCAGCCTGATGTCATAAAACAAAACATATTCAGTATAGGCTACGTTCAGACTGCAGGGCTTAATGCTCAGTTTGGATTTTTTTGTGAAATGAGTTTTTTTTGCGAGGGCTTTCACATTTCACATGTATGTGATCTCCAGTGTGAACTTTAAACGCCCCAAAAGTGTCCTGCATGTGCATTGGAGGACACAACGACGCCACAAGCTGCAAGTGTGCTCAGTGTTACGAGCATTGAGCACCTTCCGATTTTAAAGTTGCTGTCGTACTGGAGCTAGAACTTGTTAGCTTGATTCATCAGCCGGTTTCACTTCATAGAAACTGACTGACCTCGCAGTGTTAGAATTCGTTCGCTTGACGGTAGGCGGGTACTTTTTTTCATTTAAACAATCGCTGCTATTTGATCGTGAAGTATGCAATGTGCCGCTAACGGGGCTAACTGGTATATTAAGCTTTTTCCAAATCCCATAGGAAGAAGGGCAATAACGTCTTTCCCCTTGATAAAATTCACCAAACATTCTATTTGTTCTGGTTTTAAATCCTCGATCTTGGGAATCGTTGAAAACACTGAATATATGGCTCTTTATTAATTGGCTGGTGCCCGAACTTGCACTTCCGGGGTTTTTGTGAACCGTCTAGTGTATTCTGATTCCTGACCTAATCGCTGGAGGGAAATGAAATTGAGTGGAGGCACTAGGTGGCGCCAGCCTGGCTAAGAACTTGTACCACTCTCGCAGGAGGAAACATGTCTTTGGCAGCCTATTTCAGTGAGCAAACATGTCGGCGTTGGGCTGTATTGGCTCACAACAGGTGCTTGTTTCCACACAATAGCCGGCCAGGTTGGATGAACGCGACCAGGTCATTCAGACTGAAGTCACATGTCAAAAGATTGGATATGTATCGGTTCTAGGAGCACATATCCAAGTGGCCTGGGTCACATTTGAAAAAATCGGATCTGTGTCTGCCATTAAAAGATCAGATACAGGTCGCATGGGGTGAAAAAATCAGATTTGGGTCACTTCAGGCTGCAGTCTGAACATAGCATTAGTAAGTCAATGACCAGGTGCAGCCAGAAGCTAAAGCTTATTGTGCCTCCCTTTATCTCCAACTATAGCACGTTAATAGACATTCATCTCAAAATTTATGACATTAATGCAACATTTTACTACATCATAATGAAAAATCAACAGTTATTCTAATTATAACAAAAATCTCTTTACTGTCATTATATTTTTCCATTACTATTTTCTTGAAAGTTATTTTGATAATTGAATAATAATAATTGAACTCCTTTGCTTGATAAGCTGTGGTTCTGACATATGGCCTGCTGAACATACAGTACATGTACCTCTTAGATTATATTTACTTTCTCTCTGAGTGAACATTGCCTGCAAAGAAAGAGGAATTTCATTATGTTTGACTTTGTACATGAACTTAGCCATGCACAAGTCGACCAAATCATAGAACTTATGCACTTTTAATTGGATGAACAAAGAGTTACTGGGTCAATGAAAAGGTGCATGGTTAATCAGTCTAATGGCTTTTTTGGCAATAGAAGGACTGGATTAGTTCTAGTTTTATATATGCGTTTCCCCAAATTTCAAGGCCATATGTTCGGTAAGGTGTGATGAGAGAACAATGTAGTAGATGCAATGCAATTTTGTTCAGAATATACTCTAATCTATATAAAATTCCAATCATTTGAGACACTTTCTTCTGTACATGTTATATATGAGATTTCCATTTTGCAATCTATAATCATTCCAAGAAATTTGATATAATTTACAGCTTTCTATTTCATGTTCATTCATTTTCATTTTGATATAATTCTCTATTTTCTTTCTGAAATGTGATATACTGTAACCGGAAATATTAACTAATAATACTGAAACAACTTTACGCCATTGACACAAAGAATAAACAGAATAAGTATTATCTTATCTCCCTTATCTCAAAAAAATATGAGCTCGATAACAAATACTGATGTCTGATCTATTGCTGAAGTGAATAAATATAGACGATAAACACTAATACTGAAAGTTATTTATGCCACTGACACAAAAATCCAAGAGCAGATTTAAACCACAAAAAGTATTCAAAATATATAATTTAGTTAAAAATCTTGAGCTGCAATAAATAAACAGCAGAATGAAACACTTTAGTACTTCGTTTGCATCTGTATTGAGTCAGAGAAGTTATGAATTCAACCTTTTACATCTTAAATTTTACAATATAGCCAAAAAATAACCAAAAATTTTCCAGTAGTGCAAAGAAAAGGAACATACGATAAATACTGACCCCAAAAATATCATTGTAGCTTTCATACACAACCAGTCAAAAGTTTGGCTGATGTTTCTTCTTTATTTCCAAGATTATTTTCATAGATTCACTGAAGGCATCAAAACTATGAATGACGCTTTTGGAATGTAATACACAAAAAAATCTTGCAAAATAACTCCAAACTTGTCTTAGCTTTTAGTTTGTTAAAAAAAAAAAAAGCTTTTACCTTTGGTTTGAACCCATTTTTGCACTTTTGGCTTTACTTGACCCAGACAAGGCACAAATGTAAAGTGAAAACTGAATAACTTTTTTTTCTTTGTTACATAAATGTTTATATCTTCCATCATAAATGAGATATCTTCAAGTTCATTTCCAGTATATAAAATGTAGAAAGAAGTAAACAAAGAAAAAAAAACATTGAAAAACAAGGTATGATTAAACTTTTGACTGGGAGCATATATTGAATGATAAGTCTATATAGTAATTATTGAGACAGGCCTGAAAAACATAGCAGTAGTTAATAATAGTTTATTGAAGCGTTTCAAAGCAATGAACTGTGTTATTATTGTTGATAATAATAATAATCACTCTATATTCAATGGTGGTAAGTACAGCTGCCAATGTGCACCATCGGCCCCTCTGACCAATCACTCACGTACACACCACATTCGTACTAGGCAAGGTGGGTGAAGCGTTTTGCCAGAAACACAACGATAGGACTTGGTCCGAAAGCGAATCAATCCTCCGA